ATCTCTCGAACCCAGGAGGGGCAGGTTGCAGTGAGCCGAGATTGAGCCACAGCACTCCAGCCTGGGTGACAGAGCAAGATGCTGTCTCAAAAAAAAAAAAAAAGAAAAAGAAAAAAAAGAAATCAATAAGCAGAATCTTAAACTCACATGAAAATTCAAGAGACCCAGAACAGTCAAAACAATCCTGAAAGAGAACAAAAGTTGGGAAACTCACACTTCCCCAATTTCAAAAGTTACTGCAAAGCTACTGTAATGAAGACATGTGGTACTAGCATAGATATACAGATCAGTGAAACATAATTTCAAGTCCAAGAACAAACCCATACACTCATGAGCAACCAATTTTAAACAGGGGTGGCAGAAAAAATCAATGGAGAAATAGTCTTTTCAACAAATGATGCTGGGACAACTGGATATCCACATGCAAAAAAAATGAAACTGGACCCCTACCTCACACCATACACAAAAATTAACGCTAGGAATAGTGACTCATGCCTGTAATCCCAGCACTTTGGCAGCCAAACTGGGAGGATTGTTTGAGTCTGGAAGTTTGAGATGACCAGCTTGGGCAACAGAGTGAGAACCTGTCTTCACAAAAAAATTTTAAAAATTAGTCAGAAATGGTGGCACACACTTGTAGTCTCAGCTACTTGGGAGGCTGAGGTGGGAGGACTGCTTGAGGCCAGGAGGTTGAAGCTGCAGTGAGCTGTGACTGCACCAATGCACATCAGCCTGCATGACAGAGTGAGACCCTGCCTCAAAAAAAAAAAAAAAAAAAAAAAAGATAATAATTAAAATGACAGACCTAACTATAAGAGCCTAAACTATAAAACTGTTAGAAAAAAAAAAAAAGAGTGTAAATCTTCATGACTTTAAATGAAGGAATGGTTTTTTAGATAGAAAAAAAATTTAGTGTAAACCTTCGTGACTTTGAATGAAGGAATGGCTTTTAATATATAAAACCAAGGCCAGGCAAGGTGCCTCACACCTGTAATCCCAGCACTTTGGGGGGCCAAGGCTGGTGGATCACTTGAGGTTAGGAGTTTGGGACCAGCCTGGCCAACATGGCAAAACCATGTCTCTACTAAAAATACAAAAATTAGCCGGGCATGGTGGTGGGTGCCTGTAATCCCAGTACTCATGAGGCTGAGGCAGGAGAATCGCTTGAATCTGGGAGGCAGAAGTTGCAGAGAGCTGAGATCACGCCACTGCACTCTAGCCTGGGTGACAAAGCAAGACTCCATCTCAAAAAAAAAAAAAAATTTATATATATATATATATATATATATATATATATAAAACCAAGCACAAAGAACCAAAGGGAAAAAAACAAATTGGACTTTATCAAAATTAAAAACTTTTGTGCTTCAAAGTACACTATCAAGAAAGTGAAAAGACAAGCCACAGAATGGAATAAAATATTTGCAAATCAATATATAATGGTTTAGTATCCAGAATATATTAAAAAAAAAAACTCTTATATCTCAACAGTAAAGATAAACAAATTGAAAATGGACAAAGGATTTGAACAGACATTACTCCAAAATACATAATAGTCAATAAGCACATGGAAACAGGCTCCACATCATCAGTCATTAAGGAAATGCAAATCAAAACCTCAGTGAGACACTTCTTCACACACACTATGACTAAAATTTAAAAAGGGAGTTATAAATGTTGCCAAGAATGAGAAAATGGAATGCTCAAACACATGCTGGTGGAAATGCAAAATGTTGTAGCCACTTTGGAAAACAGCCTGGCAGCTCCTCAAAAGGTTAAGCAGAATTACTGTATGATCCAGCAATTCTAATTCTTAGATATATACCCAAGAAAATTGAAAACATATGTACATACAAAAAAAAAAAAAAAACAACTTGCACATGAATGTTCACAGCAGCATTCTTCTTAATAGCCAAAATTTGGAATCAACTCAAATATACATCAACGGATGAATGGATAAGTAAAATGTGGTATATCCATTCAATGGAATAATATTCAGTCACAAAAAGGGTACTGACACATGCTACAACAGTGATGCACTCTGAAAACATTATGCTAAACGAAAGAAGTCAAACATAAAATATCATATATTATTCAATTTTTATGAAATGTCCAGAAAATGCAAATTCAAGGAGACAGAAAGTAGATTAATGGTTGCCAGGGGTCATAGGAAGGGGGCATGAGGAGTGACTGGTAGTGGGTATGGTGTTTCTTTTTGGAGTGATGAAAATGTTCTGGGATTATATAGTGGTAATAGTTGTACAGCTCTGCAAATATACTAAAACCAATGAATTGTACACTTTAAAAGAGTGAATTTTATGTTATGTAAATTGTATCTCAATGTTTTTAAAAAGCCAAATGGCTCACCTTAAAAAATGGATTTCCTCACTTCTGTTTCAGGCCACCAAGATATTTCTAAAAATATAGAAATGTTTACAATGATATTTGACATTTATAATCCTACTGCAACAAATACTACAATCAAATTTCTTTTTAACCAAATTATTTGCAGATATCAGTTGATAGTCCACGTTATACCTATACTTGCTTCTAAATAATAAAGATCTGAAAATTCCTTCTACAGCCATACCACCCTGAACGTGCCCCATCTCATCTGAAAATTCCACTGAGTTCATGATTTATCTCATAGTCATTTTTAAAATTTATATTTTTCTGAAGTAACAGAAGTTAAAACAAAGTCTTCATTTGAGAAATTTTAGTAATATTGTCATCTAGAAACAGGTAAAACTATTGCTCTTGCAATGACTATTATTTAGCACAATCATCTTAAGGCAATACTTTAAAATTTAATTCCTGTTCATAGGACAATAAAAAGGTGAGGCAAGAAACAATTTTTCAGTATTGGTATTCATGTTAGTCTGTTCTCACACTGCTATAAATAATTGCCCGAGACTGGGTAATTTATAAAGTAAAGAGTTTTAATTGACTCACAGTTCAATTAGGGAGGTTGGGGAGGCTCATGAAACTTACAATCGTAGTGGAAGGGGAAGCAAACACGTCCTTCTTCACATGGCAGCAGGAAGAAGTGAAGAGCAAAGTGGGGGAAATCCCCTTATAAAACCATCGGATCTCAGGCTAGATGCTGTGGCTCACGCCTGTAATCCCAGCAGCACTTTTGGAGGCCGAGGCAGGCGGACCATCTGAAGTCAACAGTTTGAGACCAGCCTAACCAACATGGAGAAACCCCGTCTCTACTAAAAATACAAAATTAGCCGGGCGTGGTGGCACATGCCTGTAATCCCAGCTACTCAAGAGGCTGAGGCAGGAGAATTGCTTGAACCCGCAAGGCAGAGGTTGTGGTGAGCCAAGATCATGCCATTGCACTCCAGCCTGGGCAACAAGAGTGAAACTCCGTCTCAAAAAAAAAAAAAAAACCCCATCAGATCTCATGAGAACTCACCATCACAAGAACAGCATGAGGGTAACTGCCACCATGATTAAATTACCGCCCACTGGGTCCCTCCCACAACACATAGGGATTATGGGAACTATTAACACAATTCAATTTGGTGGGGACACAGCCAAACCGTATCAGTATTACAATACAATATGTAAACCAGATGCTTTAAACCATAAAACAAATTCAGATTTTCTTTCCCCTGGAATATAAATAGCACTACAGGGCTTAATCTATACAGTAATAAGAGTTAAAGTGAAAATTTTCCAAAGCACTAAAAAGAAAACATACTCTTTATATCTGCCTTTTGTAACATTGTTTTGTATATCTGGTTTTCCATATCAAAAGTCTGTAAACTTTGCATTAACACTATAATCTACAATAGAAGCTTTGTAAGCATCTGAAAGAGAATGAAATAGTAAGTCAGCTCTGATATTACTGGGTTGTTCCACACATAGTTAAATAAGAATATCGATCCTTCCAAAAATCTAAGGGTAGGCCAGTTGTGGTGATTCATGCCTGTAATCCCAGCACTCTGGGAGGTCTAGGTGGATGGATCGCTTGAGGTCAGGAGTTTGAGACCAGCCTGGCCAACATAGTGAAACCCTGTCTCTACCAAAAATATAAAAATTAGCCAGGTGCAGTGGCATGTGCCCATAGTCCCACCTACTTGGGAGGCTGAGGTGGGAGAATCACTTGAACCCTGGAGAAAGAGGTTACAGTGAGCCAAAATCTCACCACTGCATTCCAGCCTGGCTGAGTCTGTCTCAAAAAAAAAAAAAAAAAAAGTGTAAAGAAGAGGGCTTAACCATTTGAGAAATAAACATCAAGGTCTGCCATGATTAAGCTACCTTCTTAAAAAGCATTAATGGATTACAATAGTTTCAATAGTTTACATGGTTTTCACTCCTTAAGTTCAATGAAAATTGCATATATTGTTTTTACTCTTGAACACAGTGGTTTATACTACATCAGGGTGGTTAGTCACAAGAAAGACACAAACACAGAAAGGATAACCTTATCCAACTTCAGTATTATTTTAGTAGTAATGTGTATAAAATCCAACCACTGCTTGGGTGACCTTAGGAAAGAGCAAGCTTAAGAGATGAAAACATTTACACCTTTTAATTAAATTATACTGTCACCACATAAAAGTGTGAGGTTCAACATTTGTTTTCTTAAAAACAGAGCACTAAACAGTTTAATACAGGACCTAACTGATGGCTAAGATGTTTCTAAAAGGTATGCAGAACCCTTAAGACTATACTGCATCGGCCGGGCACAGTGGCTCAAGCCTGTAATCCCAGCACTTTGGGAGGCCGAGACGGGTGGATCACGAGGTCAGGAGATCGAGACCATCCTGGCTAACACGGTGAAACCCCGTCTCTACTAAAAATACAAAAAACTAGCCGGGCGAGGTGGCGGGCGCCTGTAGTCCCAGCTACTCAGGAGGCTGAGGCAGGAGAATGGCGTGAACCCGGGAGGCGGAGCTTGCAGTGAGCTGAGATCCGGCCACTGCACTCCAGCCTGGGCAACAGAGCGAGACTCCGTCTCAAAAAAAAAAAAAAAAAAAAAAGACTATACTGCATCAAGGAGTTCTTTTGAATTATGTATATTCAAATGATGGTGTTATAATTTACATTGAAATGCCACAACAAAATCTTGATAAAACAAGATATAGGAGAAATAAAAATTGATTTCTGAACCAAATGTGTAGTACCTTACCCTAGAGTAAATCACTGGGAAATATAGGCAGAAAACAATTGCATATTCCAACTGGAAAGAGTCAGAGCACATATGCTTTTAAAAATAAACTTCAAAAAACTGTTCTATTAGTTTAGGTTTTTTTTTTTTTTGAGCATGTCTTTTCTAAATAATTCTCACTTATCATTCCAGAAAATATAACAGTTTGTAAGAACTCATGCAAAAATGTTTCTCTAAGGCCATGAATTGGTTTGCTAAGTTGCATTGTTTTATTCAAGTAAAAAGCCCTTCTAGAACAAGGAGTCTGTAGAGAAAACCAATCACCTTCAACTCTCGGGCCTGTACACCTGTTAGGAGCTCTGTCACTCTGAAAGCCAAAAGATAGAATGCTCATTTGAGCATTTGCAAAATGTTCTCTATTTATATTTTTAAAAATCTAATACATGTAAGTTTTTCTGGCAGATTCTTTCTGTATGTTACAAAACAAAACATCAAAAGCTCAAAGTAAGATAAGAATCCCTTTTTCTTAGAAAGGTCAAGCAGATCCTTCTTGACATCATGTCTTTTACACAATGGCATATTGTTCATATAAAAGGTCTCTTATCCTATAAAAATCTTGACAAAGGCAGCCTTCTAATCCAATGCGTCCAGTTTCCGTCTAGAAACCAAATAAAAAAAAATTCTTTAGTACATTTTCTATTCATTAATATGCAGACATAAAAACTGAAATATATGAAATAGATTACTTTATGATTGGTCAGGACACAGGTTGCTCTGATTCACAGAATATGGATATATACTGAAGTCATGAATTTTACATAGACACATAAATGTCAGAGGATTCAAATAATTAAAATTTACTATAAAATTTTATACCATTTCTTCAAGAGTCTTTCATAAGCCTTCAAGTCAGTAAGACTTCTGTAAGCCTTTGAGGTCATGATCATGAACATAAATTACTGATCTTCAGTTTTGTGAAAATACCAATCAAGAATTACAGAATTTCAAAATGACAAGACATCAGAAGTATGTGTTCAATTCAGCCCTTATTGAAAACACACTTACTCTGCGGACTGCTACTTGATTGTTGCAAACAAGTACACCTCCTACAAATTCAGCTTGAATCCCCTCCCGTAAGAGAACTTGCTTGAAGTCTGACAGTCTTGGTTCATTCATAAAAACTGACTGATGTCCAGGAACCTTAGGTAAAGTCAAAGGGGAAAGAATAACTTCAAGTAAAACACCAGACATACAACTGTACTGAATAAAGTAAAATACTACCTGATCTCTAAGAGATTTTCTATTATTCCCTGAAGTCCTCTGACAGATCATTTCAAGACTGCAAATCACATTCCAAGTTGTTATTCTACATTTTACCCCATTATTTAACATTACAACGCCCTTCACATTTTCTGTTTCACAATCAGTTTTGTTAGTCATGCCTCATCATAACAGAGACGTTTGGTAATGCTATGCTCTTCACTCACCCACTTGCCTAACGGGATTAACTAGAGTGCCATGGGCAGGACTGATCCAAAAATTCATTTTCTAGATCCCAGTCATTTGCTTACTTCAAAGGACAATTCCTCCCTAATCCCATTTTCCCTGTCCCTCCTTCCTCAGAGCAAATGCAATGGATGCCACAGGTTCTACAATCAGTAAGGAAAGTGGTTCTTGCCTAATGCTGCTGCTTTTTGCTTTGACATTACTTTGAAGAGCTTTAGCTTTAGCACAGAAGAAAAAAAATTCTAATTCCTCCTCCCAATTTTGAGGGTTGTACTAGAAGGGAATCTAGCGACAGAGGCTGTCTCTCTATTCTTAATTTCATAGTAGGGCTGAAGACATCACTTGACATGCATGTAAGATTCATAGTTTTAGTATTTTTCCAAGTTTAATTACCTAGAATCTTTGCTAGTTAACTAGATACCTCTCAAGAATATGTAAATGCTAGACTAAATTGTATGTACACTTAATTAAAGTTTTCTAACTATATCAAAACCAAAAGTTGTTTGAACTGAATGAAACACAAAAAAAATGGAGTGTATGACTTTTGGCTGGGGGCGGTGGCTCACACCTGTAATCCCAGCACTTTGGGAGGCCGAGGTGGGTGGATCACCTGAGGTCAGGAATTCAAGACCAGCCTGGCCAACATGGCAAAATCCCATTTCTACTAAAAATACAAAAACTAGCTGGGCCTGGTGGCTCATGCCTGTAATCCCAGCTACTTGTGAGACTGAGGCAGGAGAATCGCTTGAACCCAGGAGGCAAAGGTTGCAGTGAGACAAGATCATGCCACTGCACTCCATCCTGGGCAGCAGAGCAAGACTCCATCACAAAACAAAACAAAACAAAACAAAACAAAACAAAAAACACACCAGTATGACTTTCTTAGAAAACTATCAATCTCCAGACTGGAAGCAGGCAGGTGATCTTCACAATCATCAAACTTAAAATTTAAAAATCCATACCAAAAAAACAAATCATGAGACAATTACGTACCTTAAAAGATTTGCTACAGATATGTCATTCCTTAGCTGTATAGAATTGATATATACACAGAGACAAACACGCAGAAGCACGCTGCAAGCTCTCTTTTTTAAAAACTCCAAAATCAGCCCAAATGTGAGACATATTTTATGTTCAAGACAGGGTCTCGCTCTATCATACAGGCTAGATGCAGTGGCACAATCGTGGCTCACTGTAGTCTTGAACTCCTGAGCTCAAGCAATCCTCCTGCCTCAGCCTACTTAGCTGAGACTCCAGGCGCATGCCACCATGCCGCTAGGTTTTTGACAGGGTGTCACTCTATTAATCAGGCTGCTCTAGAGCTCCTGGCCTCAAGCAGTTCTCCCACCTCAGCCTCCCAGAGTGCTGGGATTACAGGCGTGAGTCACTGCCCCCAGCTGACACATATTTTAAATGGTTAAAAATATAAAAGGTTCCACAGACCCACTTAGTTTTGGAAGGGGGAAAAAAGAAACCAAAAGACACGAAAACTAGAAGGATGACAAATTCAGGAAGAAATCAAAAAAGCACATGCTTTTTTTACCTCATGAGGTGGCAAGGGTTCCAAAGTAGGAATGATTTCACTTTCTTCACCTGTTTCTTTTTCATCATCTCCGAACAGACTTTTCATGGCCTTTTGTTGTGCTATAACACTAGAATCTGAGGGAGCGTCCACTTGCATCTCTGAGTCTTCTCCATCATCCTTTAGTTCTCCTTCTTCTAAAATAACCCCTGTGTCCACTTTGGAAACTCTCATATCTAAGACACCATCTATCCAAGCTAATTCAGCATCTTTTGCCTTACAAAACTGAAGAGAGCTGACAAGTGAGTCTTTTAATCTCACCTAGATATGCAAAGGAGGGGGAGAGAAATAAAACCCACAGAATACAGATTAACAAATTAAATATAACCTATTATCATTTTCTGCCTCTGGTAATATGTTAAAATTGGAAAATCTTTCACTCATCTGAGCCTCACAATGACCCGCAATGACCTCATTACCTTGCAGATCATTGGGCCCCTGCCTACTTTCCAAAACAGAGATTCTTAACCCTGACTACAAAATGGAATCACATGGCAATTAAAACAAAAAGTATATCAGAGCCTCATATCTAGTGTTTCTAACATAACTGGTAAGACTAAGACCAGAACACTGAATCCCTCTGACCCTCACAAAGCTCCCCAGATGATTCTCATGTGCAGTCAAGGTTGAGAACCACTGATCAGTCCCATCCTCTAGTACTTGGCATACTTCACTAGGTACTGAACTGCTTGTCCTTTCAGAATTTCCCATCTCCATATTCTTGAAAGGGTGCTTCTTCTTACTCTGCCCAGAATAAATTTCCTGCCTGATATGTGCACATCCATTTCTTCCAGATATAGACATCACTCCAGCCTTAAACTGACACCATCTCCCATTACCAGACAAAGTTTATCTCTCTACTGCGCTAGTCCTATATTCGGCATCCGTCTCCATTTGTTCCAATTAGGAGTAGAACCTTGATATCCGGGAATTCTTCTAAAACTTTTTAATTCTTAAACAATCATTTTCCTTACCTCTGTACTTTTGCAAATATAGTTCCCTCTGCCTAGAATGCTCTTCCCCCACTTTTCTACTCTGTCTGTCCTGATAACCCATCTAAACATCAGTTAGGATTAGTTATCACTTCCTGCAGGAAACCTTTTCTAAACCTCTAAAGGTGGGTGGTTTCCCCTCTTAATACTCTCATAGCATCCTATACTTCTTCTCAGAGGCACAACAACGTGATAAATGGTATTTCCTTGTTCTAAGCCCCATACAGTATCAAGACTGCTAGGGCAGGAGACCATCCATGTCTGTCTGTCTCACACATCTCTGTATTTCTAATGTTACCTGTCCTAACCTGCCACAAAAAGTACTTATTTCTACTCACTGGCAACTCCTGGCATGTTTACCTGGTAGATGTGAGTTTCACTCGTGGCATCAACTGTTTCATGCAGCTTTGGCATGTACACTTTAATATCTTTCCCACCAAAGGCGCGACAGCACTCTGCCAGATCCTGACTGGCCTCTGGTGGGCCATGGACGATGATCAACTGTCGTGGTTTCATCTGATTAATGATTTTTTTAATGGAATCCCCATCAGAGCGTCCTTCATAGTCTATGTAGGTAACCCGGGCTCTGTAATTATATATGATTATTCAAGGTAACTTTTCTCATAATTCTAAAAAAAAAAATGGCTTTTATCATGTATATAACATATAACACTAGGATTTGAGAAATACACATGTGTTATAGTATCTGTATGATTTGTTTATTTTTATTTATTTATTTATTTTTTCTGAGACTGGGTCTCACTCTTTTGCCCAGGCTAGAGTGCAGTAGCATGATCTTTGCTCACTGCAACCTCTACTTCCCAGGTTCAAGCAATTCTCCTGCCTCAGCCTCCCAAGTAACTGGGATTATAGGTGTGCACCACCACGCAGGGATAATTTTGCATTTTTAGTAGAGATGAGATTTCACCATGTTGGCCAGGCTGGTCTTAAACTCCTGATCTCAAGTGATCCGCCTACCTCGGCCTACCGAAGTGCAGGGATTACAGGCATCAGCCACCGTGCCCAGCCCTATCTGTATTATTTAGATCTTATCTACACCCAAAAATATATACTAAATGATATTGCTGGACAAATTTTGTTCTCTGATGACTTAAAAAAAATTCCAAAATGATCATTTACTGGTATTATTTAACTAAGTAGAAAGCGGGGGGAAAAGGTTTCTAACTACTTCAGATCACAACAGTATTTTCCAGACATTAGGGTCTTAGAGATGTTTAAGTCACGGAGTATATTTTATGAAACAAGCAGTGACTCAGAAAAATTAAACTGTGAGTTACACTATTCCCTTTCACCTGCTTACAGACTAAAAAGGCCAGAAATAATTTTTCTTCATATAATGGACAATTTAATGTTACAATTTAAGTACACCCCTCACCACCAATTCAATTACTTTGGCATTCAAATACCATTAATGAAGAGAAAATATCATGCCACCATATTTCACAAGCCTCTTCATACAAAAATAAATTAAATTTTAAAAGCACAAACTTACTAAAGAATATTCAGAAATTTCGCTTGAAATAATGTAAATTATATAATTCAAATGCTTGAAATTTTATCTTATAATCTATTTTCAAAATGTCACAGAAGCACTTACTTTATTTCAATAGACTCTGTTGTAGAAATACATTTAGTAGGAACATCAGATAAATCCTGATCCATGGGTTCATCTCCATTTGTCAAACCAGATTCTAATTTGCTTTTTTCTTCTTCAGTAGCTTGAAGCTCTGGCACCAAGAAATCCTCTGGTCTAAATAATAAGTCTCTAATTAGAAGCAGTAAAAAAGCAAGCTAATACTACATAACATATATAACTGGTAGGCGGCATAATTTTTGGAGTCCTCACATATCTCAAGATTTAAATATACATTTCATCCAAAGCCAATGAAATTTGATATCAATTACCAGATGACTGTATGTATTGCGTTTTTTGTTTTTTATGAGATGGAGTCTCGCTCTGTCACCCAGACTGGAGTGCGGTGGTGCCATCTTGGCTCACTGCAACCTCCGCCTCCCAGTTCAAGCAATTCTCTGCTTCAGCCTCCAGAGTAGCTGGGATTACAGGTGCCTGCCACCACACCCGGCTAATTTTTTTGAATTTTTAGTGGAGACGGGGTTTCACCATCTTGGCCAGGCTGGTCCTGAACTCCTGACCTCGTGATCCGCCCGCCTCGGCCTCCCAAAGTGCTGGGATTACAGGCGTGAGCCACCACACCCAGTCTGTATTAGGTTTTTCTTTTTCTCTCTTTTTTTTTTTTACACAGGATAGTAGTGTTTTCAAATTTGCAATTACAACATGTGATTGCAGTTGTTTTTCTAATAATGAGTATAGATTTTGTAAATTTTCCATGGTTTCACTCATGCTATATCATATTCCTCTTAATCTCATAAAACTTGTATAATACTTAAGACATAATCCATTGGTAATGCAATCACCAGTCATCCAAAGTTCTCTCTCTTTTTTTTTTTGAAGATAGAGATGGGGGTCTCACTATATTGTCTGGGCTGGTCTCATACTCCTGAGCTCAAGTGATCCTCCCATCTAGGCCTCCCAAAGTGTTGGGATTACAGGCATGAGCCACCATGCACAACCCCAAAGTTCTTCCTATTCTAATCTTCCTCTCTTTTTAAGTGGGAAAAAAAAGTCTTGATCATGTGATCATGTTTTTAAACCTTTACACAACTAAGTCATAAAACTGCCAGTTTTCTCCTAATATTCTCTATGTTTCTCAGCATCTCTATTTTTATGTTTCAAGTTACAAGTCTTCTGTGTCTTCAGTCTGAGGTACTCAGAAGCTAACCACGTACATGTGACTAGAAAGATCAAATTCATGAATTGAAAAATGATAACACAGTTAATACCTCCAATTCGCAAGAGAGAAAAGTTTGTTTTGCTCACATACTTGATAATCTCTCCATATTCATCCCATTTAATTCTTTCTTCTGGGGCAGGAAACATAGGATAGGACTTTTTTGCCTGTTTGAAAAAACTTCCTTTACGACTGCCTTCACCTTTCATCATCAAGTCATGCTTCGTCTTATGAGCTGATGGCTGGTCAATATCTTCCTCAATGTCACTCTCATCACTGGAATCTATATCTGCCCTAGGAGGATTTTAGAATAGATCGAGGTCATAAAGTTTCAAAGATATTTTAAATTAATATTTATCTATTTATTACTGAATCAATCCTCAATATTAATCATTCAATATTAACTCAAATGATAATATACAGTTATGTCGGTCAACAACAATGGACCACATATACAACAGAGGTCCCATAAGATTACTGTACCTTTTCTATGTTTAGATACATTTAGATAAACAAATACTTAACATTGTGTTACAATGGCCTACAGTATTCAGTACAGTAACATGCTGTACGGGTTTGTACCCTAGGAACAATGGGCCATATCATAGACCCTGGACACACAGTAGGCTATACCATCAAGGTTTTTTTTTTTTTTTTTTTTTTTTGAGACAGAGTCTCGCTCTGCCGCCCAGGCTGGAGTGCAGTGGCCAGATCTCAGCTCACTGCAAGCTCCGCCTCCCGGGTTCACGCCATTCTCCTGCCTCAGCCTCCCGAGTAGCTGGGACTACAGGCGCCCGCCACCTCGCCCGGCTAGTTTTTTGTATTTTTTAGTAGAGACGGGGTTTCACCGTGTTAGCCAGGATGGTCTCGATCTCCTGACCTCGTGATCCGCCCATCTCGGCCTCCCAAAGTGCTGGGATTACAGGCTTGAGCCACCGCGCCCGGCCCCATCAAGGTTTGTGTAAACATTTTTCCTAATGTTTGCACAATGACTAAATCCCCTAACAACACTTTTCTCCGAAGGTGTCCCCATCATTAAGTGAAGCATGACTGGAATAACATTCAATATTATTGGACTGACATTTTATAAAACATAACAAATAAATGCATAATAATATTAGCACTGACAGGATCTGGTATTCTAGACATTTGAAAGATGTCTGTAACAAAATTAAGTCTTATGAAAACTTAAAAATATTTTTAATGAAACATCTAAGTCAAAGACACACTCTTCTTAAATTGCATCTATAAGTTTATAATCTGTCTGAAAATGACTCACTCTTTTGACTGCTCAAGCTTTTTGGCAGCTTCTTTCTTTAGTTTCTCTTTTTCCAAGTATTCCTCAAGTTCTTTCCCTTCAAGCTTCACACGTTTCCTCAACTAAAAAAAAGTAACAGATGAAAGGAAATGTTAATATTAGGGGGTTAAAGCAGTGGGATATGAGATACACCGCATCTCTAAATTGCTCTGTCATCTTTAAACTGATGTTTTTCCTCTGAAATTAATCAAGTTTCCATTACATGCAATTATAGGTCCTACTTAGATTAGTATTAAAATTGAGCTGTCACACATCATCTAGAATGGGTTTAATTTACATCAAACTGGTTGGTCAGGCACAGTAGCTCACACCTATAATCCCAGCACTTTGGGAGGCCAAGGTGGGAGGACTGCTTGAGGTCAGGAGTTCAAGACCAGCCTGGGCAACATAGGTTGACTCTGTCTCTAGGAATAATTTAAAAATTAGCTGGGAGGCTGGGCACGATGGCTCACACCTATAATCCTAGCACTTTGCGAGGCAGGAAAATCACTTGAGTTTGAGACTAGCCTGGGCAACATAATGAGACTTCGTCTCCACAAAAAAAAAAAAAAAAGCCAGGAGTGGTAGCATGCACCTGTAGTCCCAGCTACTCAGGCGGCTGAGACTGAGGATCACTTGAGTCTGACAGAGCAAGACCCGGTCTCAATCGATCAATCAATCAAACTGGTTAAAAATCCCCAATCAGTAAAAGAAAATACAGATAAGCATTTTTATAATTTGGAGTAGGTGAGGCCCAAAAGCCATAACAAGAAACAAATAAATGCAGCAACATGAATGAAGAAAATCTCCCTTTGACATTTTAAACCTCATAAAATAAGAAACTGTAAAGAAAAACAAAAAAGAAACAGAAAAATATCTTCAGCACTGTGACCAACAAAAACTATTTTTTCCTAAGAGCTCTTCCAAATGAGTTAAGAAAAGGATGATCAACACATGAAAAAGGACAAGATACTTAGAAAGGCAATTTACAAACTAAGAAAGACACATAACTACTGGCCATGAAAAGACCCTTAACTTTACTAATTTCTGAAAAGTACAAAATATAAAAAACAATTGTTTTCATCTATGAGATTGGCAATGCCATACATGGGGAAAGAGCACCTTCTTCCATTGTCTGTGGGAAAATTAGTGCAACTATGTTAAAAGGCAATTTGCTAACATCTAAAAATAAAAATTATCATTTGACACAGTATTTCTACTTCTAGGAATTTATCCTACTAAAACAATCACAAATGTGTAAAAAAAAAAAGTACATTAGTATATTGCAGCAATGTTTATAATAGTAAAAAACTGGACAAAATTTTAAAATCCATCAAAATGGAACAATTAAATCAGTAGTTCTCATATATTTATCTCAGGACTACCTAAGACTCCTAAAAATTAGAGAACTCCAAAGAGCTTTTTGTTTTTGTGGGTTCTATTTCTGAATGTCTACCTTATCAGAAATTAAAACTGAGCAATTTTTAAAATATTTATGTTCATTAAAAAATAATAAAACCAGCCGGGCATGGTGGCTTATACCTGTAATCCTAGCACTTTGGGAGGTTGAGGCAGGCAGACCACCTAAGGTCAGGAGTTCGAGTCCAGCCTGGCCGACATGGTGAAACCCTGTCTCTACTACAAATACACAAAGTAGCCGGGCATGGTGGCACATGCATATAATCCTAGCTACCCAGGAAGCTGAGGCAGGAGAACCGCTGGAACCTGGGAGGTGGAAACTGCAGTGAGCCACAATCGTACCATCGCATTCCAGCTTGGACAACAGAGTGAGACTCCAGCTCAAGAATTAATTAATTAATAATAGTAATAGGCCAGGCGCGGTGGCTCATGCCTGTAATCCCAGCACTTTGGGAGGCCGAAGCGGGTGGATCACCTAAGGTCGGGAATTCGAGACAAGCCTGATCAATATGGAGAAAGTCCATTTCTACTAAAAGTACAAAATTAGCCAGGCGTGATGGCACATGCCTGTAATCTCAGCTACTAGGGAGGCTGAGGCAGGATAATCACTTGAACCTGGGAGATGGAGGCTGCAGTGAGCCGAGATCGCACCACTGCACTTCAGCCTGGGCAACAAGAGCGAAACTCTGTCTCAAAAACAAAAAAAATAATGATAAAACCACATGCCAACATTAACAAATTTTTACAAAAAATAATTACATTTTCCAAAGCAAAAAAAGATAGTGTGAAGAACGGCATTATTTTATTTTTTTGAGACAGGGTCTTGCTCCATTGCCCAGGCTGGAGTGCAGTGGTGCAATTATAGCTCACTGCAGCTCAATCTTCCAGCCTCAAGCGATCCTCCCACCTCAGCCTTCTGAGTAGCTGGGACTACTACAAGCACACACCACCACTCCCAGCTAATTTTTGTATTTTTTTGTAGAGACCGGGTCTTGCCATGTTGCCCAAGCTGGTCTCAAACTCCTGGAGTCAAGCAATCTGCTCTCCTCAGCCCCCCAAAGTGCTGGGATTACAGGCATGGGCCACTGCACCTGGCCAATAGCATTATTCTATATTTTTTCAAATCTCTTTAACGTCTAGCTCAACAGAAGACAGCTGGATTCTCACATTTGCTTCTCCATTCACTCTCTTGCAATATGCTGTTTTGGTTAAAGTATACGAAGAAAATCCAGGCTTACACACATGTATAGTTGGAAAGGGAAAAATATGTAAATAGTCCTTTCATGGATATTATTCTTCGATACTACATTAAAACTCAGAAAGTCGTAGTTTCTTAAAGGTTAGTTTTAATGCAGAACCTGAAACCATATGGATAGACTTTTTGTACTCTGTTACATTAAATTTTTTTTTTATGTATCTTACACTCTGTGGGTTTTTTCTTCATTTTGAGACAGGGTCTTGCTCTGTTGCCTACGATGAGTGCAGTGGCATGATCACTGCTCACTGCAGCCTCAAACTTCCGGGTTCAAGCAACCCTTCAACCTCCCAGCCTCCTGAATAGCTGGAACCACAGATGTGCACCACCATGCCCAGCTAATTTTTTATTTTTTGTAGAGACAAAGTCTCACTATGTTATCCAGACTAGTCTTGAACTCCTGGACTGAGGCCATCCTCCTGTCTTAGCCTCCCAAAGTGCTGGGATTACAGGCGTGAGCCACGGTGCCCAGTCTGTATCTTAAATTTTGAATGGATCTTTTAATTTGTGCATTATTTTGTCACATACTTAATTGGTTATTTAGAATATACTAGTTCACCGGGTTATCCAGATCTTACAAATGTTGACAATATTTTTAAAATCACATTTGCAAATATCACCACCAATCTTATCAGAAGTCTTTTCAGTTTAAGTTGTCAATCTCACAGTGCTGGGTATAAGTTTTCCAAAATTCTAAATTTTCATTTGAAAGTTAGAATTTGTTCAGATTTAAGCCAACAAATGCTGTCAATTGTTTTCTTTAGAGTGACAGGCTCAATGTATTAATTTTCAAGAAAATGTCTGCCAAACACCCAAATCTGAATGGCCCTGTCATTAGTTCACATAAAAATGGTGTTCCAGACTGGGCACAGTGGTTCAGGCCTATAATTCGAGCACTTTGGGAGTCGGAGGTGAGAGGAATTGCTTGAGGCCAGTTCGAGACCACTATGGGCAACATAGCAAGACCCAGTCTCTACAAAAAAGAATAAAAAATTAGCCAGATGTGATGAAACACACCCATAGTCCTAGCTGGTAGAAAGGCTGAGGCAGGAGGGTCACACGAACCCAGAAGTTCAAGGACTTGGTGAACCATGACTGTGCCTCTGTACTCCAACCTAGGCAACAGAGACCCAAACTCAAAAACACACACACACACACACACAAAAAAAAAAAAAAAAAAAAACAGGGCCGGGTGCAGTGGCTCACACCTGTAATCCCAACACTTTGGAAGGCCGAGGCGGGTGGATCACCTGAGATCAGGAGTTCGGGACCAGCCTGGCCAACACAGTGAAACCTCACCTCTACTAAAAATATGAAAAAAAAATAATTAGCTGGGCATGGTGATGCACACCTGTACTCCCAGCTACTTGGGAGACTGAGGCAGAAGAATCACTTGAACCCGGGAAGTGGAGGTTGCAGTGAGTCAAGATCACGCCACTGCACTCCAGCCTGGCGACAGAGCGAGGCTCCATCTCAAAAACAAAAAACAAAAACAAACAAACAAAAAAAGTGTTCCCAGAAAAAAGTGGCTAGTTTAACTCACGACTCAAATAAACATACAAGTGTTTTTCTTGGAGACAGTCATTGTACTTTTAGTACACAATGCAAGTACTTTATTAATACTTCCTATCTTGTCACCCAGCTTTTAAAAAATCTTTTACTAGGCCAGGTGCAATGGCTCATGCCTGTGATCCCAGCACTTTGGGATGCTGAGGCAGATGGATCACAAGGTCAGGAGATCAAGACCATTCTGGCTAACCCAGTGAAACCCTATGTCTACTAAAAATACAAAAAAATTAGCCAGGCGTGGTGGCACACACCTGTAGTCCTAGCTACTCAGGAGGCTGAGGCAGGAGAATCGCTTGAACCCGGGAGGCAGAGGTTACAGTGAGCTGAGATCATACCACCATACTCCAGCCTGGGCGACAGAGCAAGATTCATCTCAAAAAAACCAATAAACTTTTACTAAAAGAACTTAGTAATATTAGTAACTTTCACTATTCCCTCAAGGACATTTTTTTTCCTTTTTATAGACATAGGGTCTCACTATGCTGCCCAGACTGGTCTCAAACTCCTGGCCTCAAACAATCCTCTCACCTCAGCCTCCCAAAGTTCTGGGATTACAAGCATGAGTCAGTATGTCTGGCCCCTCAAAGATATTCTCTTTCAAATTTCTTTTGTTTAATATACCTTTATACTTTGTAGAGGCAGTCTTGCTATATTGCCAGGCTGGTCTGAAGCTCCTGGCCTCAGGTGATCCTCCTACCTTAGCCTCCTGAAGTGTTGGGAATAGGCATGAGGCACCACACCCAGCCTCTGAAGGACATTCTTAAGTGAAACTAGCCTTTTTTTTGTTTTTTTTGTTTTTTTTAAATGACAAGTGTATGGTGGTGAAAAATGCAGTGACTA